TTGATGCTCAGTAAAATTTCCTCGCCTGAAGGGTGGCGAAAGGTAAGCACGCTTTTTGGAATTAAGTTCCTTTATTCCAGCTTCATCAATAACAATATCTGGACAATCTGGATCAGAGAGGAGAGGGTTTTCGACGCTAAGATCACTGGCACCTTGGAGGATTCGCCGGATTCCATCCAATTGCGACTGGATAGCATCATCATCTATATCAATGTCCTCACCTCCGGAAAGAATAGCGCTGAAAAATGCAAAAGTATTAATTTCAAAAGTTATCTGAACCGAAAAAAGTTGCAAAGTTAAAAGGCGGAAAGTATATACTATTGGTTTGACCTCGTTTTCGCAACTTGGCCGGAGCATCAAGATGATCTTGTGGTACGTGCCTGATCCTGCGTCCCTTGCCATAGGATTCATGATTTCCAACATGAGGCTATTAACTTGGTACATTTATATAGTTTTCATGCTTGGATGAGTTTGAAAGACAATAAAATACTGCCAAACCAGGGTTACATTGTTAGCAAAAATAAAAATAAAATAGAGAAGCAAGTCAAGCACTATTAGTCGTAAAACGATTTGCTTCTAGTGTTTTCGAAGGTGAAAAATTGTAAGGATGCACATTGAGACTTATTTGCATTTTTTACATCTTAAATGCATTACGAAGACACTAATTTTCCGAATAAAATGCAGGATCTAGGATAGCTTAAGATGAACCTTGAAATGTATCGTTAAATAAGCTGCACTATTACCCTTTAACGATGTATGATATTGGATATTCAAAGAACTTTCATTCCAAAAGATTTATTTAAATCAGGTTCAGCAACAAGTGACGAGAAATTGACATACAATTACCTTGAAAAAGGCGACACAGCTTGTTTCCTATTAGAGCTCACTGAATTAGACGATGCAAGGGATAGCTGAAGCGAAGCGAGACTCCCAACATCCCCACCCACTGCAACAAGTTGCTTCATTCTCTTTGGACAAGAAGAGATTTCTTTGTCAGCTTTATCACATGCACGCATATTGACGGGGCAGAGCGCTAGGGCGTTCGTAGTTGGGATGTTTGTAACTGTGTTTGAGACAGGTATGCCATATAAAGCAGTAGAAGCATCTTCCATGGGGGAAACGGCGTTTCTAGTCTCAAAGGCACTATCTACAGTAGCAGCTGAAGACAAAATTTCATTGAGATCAGTATTTGGTTGAAAAGAACACAACACATTCGATTCTGAGAGAGTGTCATCGTCGTCTATTCTAGTAAGCGGATCAGGAATATGATAATCGTCCACCGGGTAAGTAAGGAAATTGCCCGCCTATTAAAAAAAATAAGCATGCATATAAAATGAATACCTTTGAATGACCATGATTCATCCTATCTTCATCCAAGGCATCATCAATGCTAGGAGATTGAGGCGAACGGAGGAAATAA